GCCTCGTTCAGGCGATCTCGGACCGATTGTTTTGGCGCGGATCTAAGTGCGATTGCCGTGTTCACATATGCCCAAACAAACCAAGCTAAGGGGGGAAACGCGCCAGGTTCCGAAACAACAGGCCAGGTGTGAAAGCACCCTTACACTTGTTCAGATGGCACAATGCAATAAAATAACAAAAAAAAATGTGAAAAGTTTTTCAAAATAAAAAAAATCACTTCAAACTGAAAAAGGCACAAGAATCCAGACTCTCACATTCCCTCCCTACACACACCTGTATAAATGGCACGCCAGAGCGCTCAATGGCAACCACTCCAACGGTCTGACTGAGCTCCAAGTCTAGGATGAGGATCTCTCTGGGGTACAACAGCAACATGTGATTCCTCTTAGATGGCAGATATGACAGCTGGAGACAGTCATTAAGAGTCACTGCTTCAGCCCTGCACACAAACAAACACACATAGCCAGGTCACATTTAAAACATCAATTTATCCTGCCTGTTTCAATGTTTATCTATGGCCCAACCTGCTGTTACGTACATTTATAAATCACAAATCAGACAACTATGTATCTTTATCCAAAGGTGTTCAATGGTAAATGTTCTTGCATAGCTAATTGCTGTCGGGTAATTGCATTGAGTGACAAACTTCCCATAGTTTGTTCACTGATCGCAGGATGCATATTGCACAAAAAACAACAACATTTCTTAGGTTTTCCGGAAAACAAAATTGTATTTAAAAGGTTGATGAATGCTTGTGAGGAAAAATTAATCATTGAATTTGTAGAACAATAAAACTACAACCATTCCCACTAATTTATTTATTAAGTGTTTTCTGAAGACCAACCATGTTTATATGTGGCTACCAATGTCCTGCAGAAAAATTTAAATATGTTATATTGAGCTTGGTCAAACTTAAGGCGTATATATTCTAATACTGAAACTGAAAAACGAACACATGAAGTCGGACTAAACTTGGAAAAAAATGAAGTTTATCTGGAGTTTAATGCAGTGGTTTGAAACAGCTCGCCGGCACAAACTTTCTAGAAAAATATTGCAGCAGCCGTTTAAGATTAGATTAGATTCAACTTTATTGTCATTGTGCAGAGTACAAGTACAGAGCCAATGAAATGCAGTTAGCATCTAACCAGAAGTGTAAATAGCAATATATGTTTATAAATATATATAATATATATTATGTTTGTTTATATACACTAATATTTTTATGGAGTGCAAAGTCTGAGGTACAGAAGCAGAGACCAGCTCGATGCTATGGAATGCCATCTCTGCCATAATTAGAAATAAATAAGTAAATACATGTACAAAGAAATGTAAAAAAGCAAATATAAATAAATAAATATATAAATAAATATGTAAAGAAAAGTAAAAAAGCAAAAATAAATAATTATTTTCTTTTATTTATTTATACATTTATTTATTTCCACTTTTCATTATTTTCACATTTATGCATTTATTTATGTATTTCTTTATTTTATTTTCACATTTATTTATTTCTACATTTCTTTGTCCGTAGGGTAATGAGGAGGGCGTGTTTTACCACAGGAATAGCAATTGAGCCAGAGTAGGCGAGGGGTAAGCTTTGAGGCCACAGTGACACCTTGTGGTGCCCAAACAAAATACAAGAAAGAAAGCATACATGACGCACCTGTTGTGTGATGAATGATTTAGATGGGCAATATGGCCAAAATCTTA